GTTCCACATGGCTGGGGAGGCCTCAGGAAACTTACAATCATGGCAGAGGCAAAGGGGAAGCAAGCTTAGGCTTTCTCACTTGGCTGCAGGAGAGAGAAGAGTGAGGAATGAAGGGGAAAGAGCCCCTTATAAAACCATCAGATCTTGTGAGAATTCACTACCACAAGAATAGCATGGGAGAAACAACCCCCATGATTCAATCACCTACCCAGGTCTCTCCCTAGGCATGTGGGGATTATGGGTATTACAATTCAAGATGAGATTTGGGTGACAATACAAAGCCTAACCATATCAAAACCTTATGCATCATCCAGATCAACCTCAAGACTGAGTTCACCTTAAGACTTGGAAATCTAAATCATCTCAAGACCAGCTAAATCCTGTCTGGACTGGGCCCTACCCTGTGCTGGTAACCACTCACTCTTCTCTTAAATTGCAGGGGCTCAGACCCTGGATCTGTCATTCCAGAACTAAGCCTGCACCAGAGCCCTCAGATCAGGCTTCAATAGATCCAACTTACTCCTATGAACTGGCCTCTGATCTCAAGCTCCTCTTTCAGAGAAGGGACATAGATAAATAAAATGTGCCCTTTCAATGCTCTTGATACATCAGGAATTCCTTCATTCTTAGAGGAATCTCTATGCTCTTTTATATTCTGTAAAAATTCTTAATTGGTGCTAAATCACTGTCTAGTATATAGAATGAACCTGGTCCATCTCTACTGCTTAGTCCCCCCTCTTTTTTGAATTTTTTTTAGCATGACCAGCGGTCTCTGGGAAGACAATACAACAGTCAGTTTCCCTCACATCATAGTGAAGGGAAATAGCCTGTTCCAGTGCTGGATATGCTATAGGCACCCACAAGCTTTGTCTGCCCAAGTGAGAGGACTTGTGGCAATCCTCAAATTTCACTTTCATCCACAGAACTGGAGCGAGCTCCCCTTCCCTGTGGTTACCCTCTTCCCACAAAGTGAGGAAATCTCTTGCATCACCTTGACTAACACCTCTATAGCAAATGCCACCTAGGTGTCAAACTTGCTAAATGGCTCAGCTGTATATCAGATATGCAGAAGCTATGAAATTCCTCCAGGAAAGACTTACTACACTAACACAGGATCAGACCCCAAAGGGAGAGGATCAGACCCCAAAGGGAGGTAACCAGCCTCTTTGAACATGACCTGCCACCCCAATATGACTTACTAGTGTCATGATATGAACATCAATAAAAAATATTGGGGACAGAGCAGTAAATGCAGTTCATGGTGAAGAATACCAAGCTTCAGTTTTTGGTACACCCAGGTAAGCAAGCCAAGAGCTTACAAGAATAATGTCTCAGCTGACTGCAGCGATAGTGACCACCTGCTGGGTGGGCCTGTCTCCCATTATGTAAGGATAATGGCACCTGAGCCAAACAGCACAACTATTAAATGTCTTTTTTTTTTTTTTTGAGATGGAGTCTTACTCTGTTAACCAGGCTGGAGTACAGTGACACAATCTCAGCTCACTGCAACCTCTGCCTCCTGGGTTCAAGTGATTCTCCTATCTCAGCCTTCCGAGTATACGGAATTACAGCTGTGCACCACCACCATGCCCAGCTGTTTTTTGTATTTTTAGTAGAGACAGGGCTTAAACTCCTGACTTTAGGTGATCCGCCAACCTCGGGGTGAGCCACTATACCTAGCTAAGTGTCTTTATCTCCAAATGAGTATGTGCCCCTTGGGGGCATGTGTTCCTCTGTGCTCCCGCCACCCCCCGACAAATGTCTACCCCATGCCTGTTTGCCTTGAGGTTCCTTCCCTTTACCCCACTTGGCATTGCTCATCCCTGCATGGAAGGATGGAAGGACATTTGGATGGAAGGACAATGCACAACTGGTCCGCAAGCCCCTCTAATGCTAAGGCTGTTGAAGCAGGCCCACAAGTCAGGTCAAAAAGAGCAATGAGTTTAAATTTTGGTGGGGATGGGAGCAGCATCTAGGATGGCTGCTCTCTGGGGATTTGTTCATCATGAAACCACTGTAAGACACTTGACTAGAAAACTTGAGTCTTCGGCATCCTCAGTTGACTCCTTGGTAAATATGTTGCTAGATAACCATATAGTATTAGATTATCTTTTAGTGGAACAGGGAGGAGTGTGTGCAGTTACTAATTCCTCTTGCTGTCCCTGAGTAAACACCTCAGGGGAAATAGAAGTTGACATTAGGAAGGTCTATGTCCAATTCTGACTCTATTTGGGAAGCTATCAAATCAGCAATACCAATTACTTCGTAATATTCTGCTCATAATAAAACTACTAACTTTATTGTTTGTACTACTGTTGTTTGGTCCCTAGATCTTAAATCTCTTGGTACAATTTCTATCTTCCAGATTAGAAAAATTTCAACTGCAGCTTGCAACAATACCAGCCTTTGCCACCTATCTTAGGAGACCCTAAAACACATTTACATTTAGTGTCTAGAGATTTTCACTCCCCTAGTATCTCTGGATACGGCATTCCTAATCAGCACAAAGTTACAGAATAATGACCTCTCAAGACTAAGGAGTGATATGGAAATTTGTAGGCCAACAGGGAGGGAATCCAGGGAGTATAGGAATTTTGTCAATTTAAGCAATTAGCCTGTTTTAGAGCTTTTTGCCTTCTAGCTAGTTTTATCCCAAACCCTGTGTGAAATGTGGTCACTTAGTTGGTTGGAACCAGCTCCTGACAGACCCAGACAACTTACAGATGAACCCTGGTGTACCTTCCTCATGGCCATGCTTAAGGCCTGCACCCCAGGAGGACTGTAGCCTCATTACCATAGCATACGTCCTATGTGCTGGCACCATGACTCACTGCATCGGTGCCACAGGGACCCCTCCTCTACATGTGAGGATGCACCCTCTCCCCTCTATGACACCACATAATGCCCTCCTGTCATTTTCTCTTAGGAGACACTACTTTGGAGAACATTCCCACTCCTCCTTACTTGTGACAAGTAATAAAAATTTCTTTGGTCAAAACTGGCATTCTCATGAAGAGTCGTTTGTTACTCTCTAGGCAAATAAATTCTGGTCTGTTTATGTTTTGACAATATCCAGACAACATTCCAAACAATCATTCACTTGATCATTCCAAACAATCATTTGGAACATACAAAATACATTGTGATTTATAGCTAAAAGACTGCTTTCTTCATATACTCTCTCTCCTGAAAATACTTGCACTGGTGGTCTTTGCTTGGGAGGGGCTAAAACAGAAGACACCTATGGGGAAGAGGACTGAGGAGGCTGGAGTCTCACCTCCAGGAGAGAAGCGGGCAGTGCCTCCAGGTTAGGTGTGATCTAGGTTAAGCCTAGGATGAGGCAAGTCAAAAGTGAATCCCACCACAGTTCAGAACCGGGGCAATGGTGCACCCTCCACTCGGGCTTCCTGCACCTGTGCAAGAACAAAAACCAAAGCAAATAAAAAGGCTCAAGGTCCTGCCAGGAATGGGGAAAGTGATAGTAGAGTGGGGTGCTGGACAGTCTGATGCCTGCAGGAGTGGCCGCATGAGGTGGTGACTCTGTGGTTTGCAGCAGGTGTTCTCAGCCCCCACAGAACTGTGCAGAGTGGGAAGCCAGTCTGAGCTCTGGGACAGGATGGATACTGAGGGAGTGCCTGGGATCGTGAGGCTGATGCCTGGATTCTCCAGTCTGCACTCAGGCAAAGGTCTCCTGGCACAGGAAAAACAGACTGCAGTTGTGAGACTCTGCATAACACGGCCCCTTCTTGCCACATTCTGTGCTTTGACATTGCCTCGGGAACATGCCCATGGTTGGCCTGAGGGAATACTGTTATAATGTGAAAGCAAGTCCATAGATTTCCAGCTTAAAGGAACCCAGTGGAGATGCTAACAAGTTCTCCTGAAGAGGTATGTTCTGGCTGGGGCTGTGAGGAGCTGGCTGGCAACTACCACCTGGGCCTCCCAGGACCAAATCTAACTGCCCTGGCAAGGTGTCTGGATGTCACAGGCTTGGATCTAGAGAGAATCAGGCTCATCATTCCTCATCAGAGTCCATCCTGTCCTGGGTTCTTTGCAGACCCAGGTTTGAGACAACAATTTGTTTCTATTCTGAATAATGTCCCACAAGAGGTGGAAATAGTCACATTGCTTTACTTAAAGAGGGGCTTAGAGGTGTTAACCCTCTCATTTTACAGGTAAATTGGCCAGAAGTGCTTAATTACCTTGCCCATCAAGAAGGGGAAGAACTAGGAGTTGACCTCATGCACCATGGGTTCTTTTCTCAGTGTCCTCTTTGTGGCAGGGAGCCCGGGGGCAAGATCTGAAGCTCTGAACTGTGCTTGAGGGCAGGGCCTGCTCTTGGATCCAGCCTCCCAGGAAGCCTTCTTGGTGGATGACTGGCCCTTGCTGACCTTAGTACTGGGGTTTTCTGAACTTAGAGTGAGGCTGTTGAAAACCTTCTTCCATCACTTTGGGCCTTAGCTGTAATTCCAGGCCACATTAAAAAAAAAAAAAAAAGAGAGAAATCCCATTACTCTCTGATCCAGGTACCGGGTTAAGCTTTACATGCTTTATCTCATTCATTGACTCATCTTTTTTCAGAAGTTGTCCTTTATGTAGTAAGCGCTGGTTTCATTTGTAATGATAAATGGTCTGAGGCTTTAATCCCAAAACCAAGAGTGTGGGTGGAGGAAGATCTAACAGCCAAGGCTGTTTGTTGGCTTTCCTCCCCAGCCTACACAGCGAGCCCCTGAGGGAGCTAGACTGGGGCTGAGAGGAGGCTATGAACCCCAGACTCCTCTCCTGCAGCAGTCTCTGAGTACACCCAGTACGCATCTAACAAGACACCCTCTCCTCAAAGCCCACAACAATGCTCCCACTGCAGCACGTTGTGTTTCTAAAGAGACAGGCTACATTTCATTCTAAGAGCCCATTTCCCTCGAATGATGCATTTAGACATCTCAGGGGAGACAATGCATAGTTTCTTGCACCTCTCCAGATGGGAAAGAATTATTTACCATGAATTAACCAGAAGTTTTTATTTTCTAAAAGTATAAAAACACATACAAAAAGGGACTCATTCTTGAGAATTGATCACATCATTGTAACACACAGCCCAATGTGCAAGGCCACCATGCAGAAAGTTGCTCCCAAACCATTAGGAATTTCTATCACCAGGCTGCCCTAGACTCTTTATAAGTTACTATTTCTAAAATACACATGGACAAAGAATAAGCTTTATTCAACCAGACTCACAAAAGTAAGGATTGTGCTTCTCTAGGTTCATAAAATAGGATTCTAATGCTCTGAGGAAAATAAACTTGTGTCAGTCCCAGGGAACTTTTCTCCCCAGAAGTTGATTGGTCACTCTCTGTAGAAGAAAAGAAAGGCAGGAAAGAAGTTAGATATTCTTGCCATCAGAGGCAGATGCCACTTCTCCCCCCAGCCATGTCACCAAAGAGAATCAGTGTGATCCTACTCAAATCTTACTCATTTTACTCTGTTCCAGAAACTATGGTCATCATATAAAAAATACTTCCTGAAAGGTTCAGGAAAGAGGATCTGTAAAATCGATACCTATTATTTCTATACAGACAGATAAGCCATAAGTTCCCACATAGCCTAAGGAGAGACCTGGCCCTGAGATGCTGATGCATCAGACAGGTGGTGTGGTGCCTGGAGCCCCCAACTGAGGCAGCCGCCCTGGATTCTGGGGCCTGCTCCAGAAGCAGCTCCCATCCCACATCAGTCTGGTATGAACCGATCTTTTTGTTTCTGACTTTCAGGGCCCTCTGGGGTGTGGTGAGGGGGTGAGAAGGAAACAAGTACAGTGAAGGATATGGCCCTTCAGGCATAGGAGCCAGTCTGGTTTCTTAGAGAATTAATTGGTAGCATAAACCCTGCCCCATGAGGTTCCCGGACTTGCAGCACCACTGACTCCACTGGGACTACGGGCAGGGAATGGTGACAAGTTAGAGGCCTCTGACCACCGAAGTGGACAACTCTTATGCCGCAGTCAAACACTTTCCAGTTTAACAATTCTAGAGGTATCTGACTCACCAATGAGGGGCATGAAAGCACCACCCGGAACACTGGAATGGAAACCTGACAATTCTGATATTTGGACATTTCTACCATGATACGTCAATAAACACCTGTATGTGAAATTTGTTTTCACTCCAAATGAATTCATGGAAAGGGTCTTACACAATTATGGATGGGGAGCTAAACCTGATTTGAAATGTAATTACAGATGCCTTTTTCCAAATTTCGACACTGGTCTAGTGCACTCTAAGTTCATTCTCCAAAAGCAGTTCATTCTGACTGCATGCTCAACAGGTCAACGTGTTTTCTCCATTTCTCTTTCCCCCAATAAATCTGATCCATTCCACTCTAGACAGAGGACTCACTGACCTTTTTATATAGCTGGGCTCGTAGCCGGTATGACTTATATTCTGATTTTCTCTTCTCTTCTTCTTTCTTTTTCTGTACTTCTGGAAGCTGCTCATAAATCCTTAGAAATGGCACCAGTGAAAGGACAGAAAGCAGGGAGTTTACCAGGGTGCAGAGAGGCATGAGATCTCCTCTCACCACCCCTTCAAATGCCTCCCGCTCTCCAGGCGCTCGCTAATCCCTCCCGGAAAGGCCCTGGGCCCCATTAGATACTCCTGGCACAGAGAACTCTGGCTTGGGGGCTCACAATCTGGAAGGGGAAACAGATAAATACAAACACAATAAAACTCTGCTGATAGCGGTTAGTTACACCTGGGAAAGGAGTGGGATATAGGGAGAAAAAGTGAGATAAACGAGGGAGAGGTGAACTGCTTTCCACTTTATATGCAAAAATGTACTGTTTCAATATAAAATAATGAACAGTGTTACTATTGTATTTGTAAACACAAGCAAAATTATGGAAAAATACTAAAATGGTCATATCTGCAAAATGTTCTAGAGGAGAAGAAACTTGGTCTGGTGGAAGGCGGTTGGGAAAGGCTCCAGAGAAGAAATTAGGGTTAAGCTGGGTCTTAAGAACAGATAGGAGCAGAAATGAAATGAGGAGAAGGGCAGAAGACAGTCAGGGCTGGGGGGAAAATGAGTGTTGGTAAAAATGGAGTCGAAGCTTCCTGAAGAGGAGTGTAAAGGAACAGGTGGGAAACAGGTGGGGTGAGGGTGAGGTGGGCTGCAGAGGATCTTGCGGCCACATGAAAAACATGGGTTCTTTCTAGCAGAGTTTGGGTGTCAATGATTTTAAAGTTGGGAGAAACACAAATGTGCATGTGATAAATGTAGTCTCATTGTAAATAAGTTTCCATCAAAATAACAGTTAAATAGATTATGGAATATAACAGAATGTATATGTTACAAGTATGTTTCATGAGTATGAAAAAGTTTCAGGATTTTTAATGTCATAGGAAAGGTTCACAACATAATGTTGAGTAAAATAAAGGAAGATACAAACTTGTGAATGAAGCATGACCAACAATTTGGGGAAAAAAGTGTGTGTTATGCAGGTCTCTGCAAAATCCCCACACTTCCCACCAAAAACAGGACTACTGTTAGTCATGCTTAGATGGAAGGATGTAAGTGATACTCATTTTCTTTTTTCTACTTTTCTCTATATTTCCTACAATTTTCTATAATCTAGAAAAAAAATCACTAGATTGATGCAGGACTCTGTGGGAAACAGACCAGAGAAGGAGAAGGTGTCTCCTGAATGCCACTCTGGAACAAGTGCTTCCAAATAAAAGAGCTACGTTCTTTCCTCTCAAAATCTTTCCTTCTTATGGGAAACTTTAAATATCTTTGGTAGAGGTAAGTGATGACAAAAGATGAGTAACATAAGTTCCAGAGATACAAATCCTTAATAGGACACAATTGAAGGCCAAACACCAGGCTCTAAGCCCAGCTGTGACCCTAACTTGTTGGGTTACTTCCCCTCTCTGGGTTGTAGTTTCCTAAATATTAAGAGTGACTACATGATATTTAAGATCACATTCAACTCTACAATTCTCAGATGGAAACATGTCACTTCCTTGAAAAGAGGCCACACAAGAAACAAAATTGAATAGAAGCAACCTAATGAAAATGTATCAGTTTAAAAACTCAAGTCTCTCCAGAAGACGAGTACTAAATCCACTCATGTAAGTGTATTTCTGGCTGAAAGCATTGATATGTTAAAGGAGACGTCCTGCCTGTCTTCCTATAGGCAAGCTTCCTAGTCCCTTACAGCAGGGACTACTCTTGCTGAGGTGAGAGTGTAAGTAGCTGCCACACCACAAACCCTGTATAATGTCCCCTAATTCCATTTTGTGACTGAGTTAGAATGAAGCAATGGTTCTCAAATATTTTAGACTTAGGACCCCCTTCACATTTCTAAACTTTGAGGATCCGAATGTAGGTTTTATCTATTGATACTGTATTAAAAATTAAAATTAAAAATTAAGAAAAACCTTATTTTTTAATTCGCTTGAAATAACAATAAGCCTGTGACATGCTAACATAAGAAACCTATATTTTTAATAAAAAATAAAGATGTTTTGCAAAACAAAAAACTTTTGGTGGGAAGTGTTGTGCTGTTTACATTAGAAAACTCTTTAATGTCTGGTTTAATGGAGGACAGCTGGACTCATATTTGCTTCTGTATTAAGTCTGTTGTCACGTCTTGCTCTGGATAAGTATACATTAAAAAATCCAGCTTACATAAAGATCTTCCACGTACTTGGAAATGAGAGAAGTATTGTATCATTCTTTTCAGGTAATTCTTGATCTTCTTTGATATTATACCCAAACTTGACAAGTGATAGTTTCTTTTCTTGTTTTATTTTTGAGACAGAGTTTTGCACTCGTTGCCCAGGCTGGAGTGCAGTGGTGTGATCTTGGCTAACTGCAAACTCTGCCTCCCAGGTTCAGGCAATTCTCCTGACTCAGCCTCCAGAGCAGCTAAAATTACAGGTACCCACCACACCCAGCTAATTTTTGTAGTTTTAGTAGAGACAGGGTTTCACTACGTTGGCAAGGCTGGTCTTGAACTCCTGACCTCAAGTGATCCACCCTCCTTGGCCTCCCAAAGTGCTGGGAATACAGGCGTGAGCCACCGTGCCTGGCTGACAAGTGGTAGTTTCTTAAAAGTTAGTTGCAAAGTGGAATCTGAAAATATGTCAGTAAATTTTTTCTATTCTGTTACATAAAAATCCATTCATCTATCTCGTAATATTTGAATGAATCTTCTATCTATGCTTGATTTTCGAGCAAAAAAAAAAAAAAAAAAGCAACAATCATTTGGAAAATCCTGGCCCAGTGAGTTGTGCTGATCTTCCAAATGTTGACAAATTTATTTACATAACACGAAAAACATCATATTTGTTAATGTCACTGCTTATAAAAGTCTAAGTACTGAGAAGTCATCAAGCCCATGGTAGTGAATACAAGTTTTCTAGAATTCTATTGTTGGCTTGAAAACTCACATGTTCTTTGGCAACAAATACTGTCAGACATTTGCCTGAAGTCACAGATTCGCTTCATTTTCAAGAAAATGTCTGCTACAAATCCAAGTCAGAATAATCGGTTTTCTGTCAGTTACTCTTTTAAGTAAAAGTCATGTTCCATGAAAAAGGTAGCTGATTTAGCTCACGACACAAACCATGGCATAAGTGCTTTTTCTTAAAACAGTCATCATCTTTCACTGTGCAAAGGAAGTGATTCCTGTGTACCTCCATTTACACTGCTTCCTTGTACTTCCATCACACTCCTGGAGGGAGGCTGTGCAGGATACAATGCCTACTAGACTAGTAGTTTGGTGCCACTGTCTTGAATAGTGCTAAGACATCAACAGTTTTACTCCTCCCCCATTCCTCTTGCATCATCAGTGCAAATAGTCAACACAGCAAAAAAGACACAGAACATCCTGGTGTCATTTTGAAATTCGTTTTGACCTTGCAAATCGCCTAAAAGAGTCTCAGCAACTTCCAGGGCTCCACAGACCATTCTCTGACAACCACTAGACTAAAGCATCCCTTTGGATTTGCCTATAAAGGCTGATTAGATAGAGAGTAAAAACAAGATTTCAAGAGGAATGCTTAAAGTCCATAAGATAAATTGTTTTAAAGCATCATTACTTCAGAAGCATTATGCCAAAAAAGAAACTATTCTTATTAAAGCAAGTCTCCAATGAACGCCTGAAAAAGTCAAATTTAACTTATTCTCTGGCATTCTCATGATTAATATATGAATATCTGAAATGAATTAATTTTTTTAAAAATTTGTTATTTTTTAGATACAGAGTCTCAGTCTGTTACCCAAGGCAAGTATAATGGTGTGATCATAGCTCACTGCAGTCTCAAATTCCTGGGCTTAAGAGATCCTCTCACCTAAGACTCCTGAGTAGGTAGGATTACAGAAATGTACCACCATATCCAACACTCAAATTCATTAATTAATGAGTAGCTAATGTTCGTTCGTCACGGCACAAAATTAAAAAATTATAAAAAGTCAAAAAATCTACTACATCTGTACTCCATCAGTTCTCCTTTCCAAAGGCAATCAGTATTATCAGTTTTTTTCTGTCTTCCAGGAATATTCTATGCGTATAAAAGTACACACATCTATATAAGCACAAATACTTATTTTTAAAGACCACAAATGGTAACAGTGCTCATATGCTTTCAAAATTTAATTAGGACTCAGTGCGGTGGCTCAAGCCTGTAATCCCAGCACTTTGGGAGGCCGAGGCGGGTGGTTCACGAGGTCAAGAGATCGAGACTGTCCTGGTCAACATGGTGAAACCCCGTCTCTACTAAAAATACAAAACATTTGCTGGGCATGGTGGCACACGCCTGTAGTCCCAGCTACTCGGGAGGCTGAGGCAGGAGAATTGCTTGAACCCAGGAGGTGGAGGTTGCGGTGAGCCGAGATTGCGCCATTGCACTCCAGCCTGGGTAACAAGAGTGAAACTCCATCTCAAAAAAAAAAAAATTTAATTAAAAAAAAGTTTAACTTAAAGTGTTCTGAAGAACACTGTTCTTTCTCACCCTATTGGATCAATTCCTAGAAATGGGATTGCTAAGATAAAAGGCATGGCCCAAATATATATTTAATTTTATTTTAAAATAGTCTTTTTTTTTTCTGGACATGGAGTCTTGCTCTGTTGCCCAGACTGGAGTAAAGTGGTACCATCTAAGCTCACTGTAACCTCCGCCACCCAGGTTCAAACGGTGTTCCCCACTCAACCTCCCAAGTAGCTGAGATTACAGGTGTGCACCACCATGCCCAGCTAATTTTTGCACTTTTAGTAGAGATGGGGTTTCACCATGTTGGTCAGGCTGGTCTTCAACTCCTGACTTCAAATGATCCACCCACTTCAGCCTCCCAAAGTGCTGGGATTACAGGCTTGAGCCACCGCTCAGGTGTCAGCCACTGTGCCCGGTGTCAGCACAGGTGTCAGCCACTGTGCCTGGCCTAAAATATTCTTTATTTATATTTAGGTTTTTAATAAAGAGAAGCCTGACTAAGACATGCAAATTAGTGGGGATTTTTTTCATCTTTTGCATGTGAGTCATTCACACCATTGTGTGCTAATTTTTTTTTCAGTGCCGTAAGTGAGAAATGACTCTTACAACTTTCTCATGATGTTTAAACTTGAGCATAACACCCTTATTCTGGGTACAAGCCAGAGCTCCTGATAACTTGGTAGCCTGGTTTATACTTCTATATGTACTCTTGTTCTCTTGGTCTTACCGTTTGGACCGCTGAATCATTTCCTTCTTGCTGATAGGCTTGTTCTTCTGGGCAGCCAGGAATACTAAGCAAGAGAAGAAGGGGTTTTCAGTGGACAGTGACTTAAACCAGGAGGGTGCAGTATAAGAGCTGGGAGAGGGAGCTTCCAGGGCTTGGTGCCCCTACCCTGAGCTGGCAAGACTGGGTGGGGAGCAAGGACCAAGTCAAGCCAGGGTTAGACTAGGGTAACAGGGACAGCAGCCTAAGGCCCTGAGGACCTAACACTCCGTAGCACAGACTAGACTTTGAATTTTAAAATTGCCAGTTATTAGGAAAGATTGGATGAAAGAACTAGGTAGTGCTTTGCAGTTTTCACAGCTTTCATTGTTTTATCAAAACCTGCTTATCGTAATTGTTAAGAAGGCAGACTCCAGAGCTGAGCACCTGGGTTCAAATCTTAGCTTTTACTTACTAGGTATGTCATCTTGGGAGAGGTACTTAATCTCCTTTTGATTCAGTTTTCTCACTATAAAGTAGAGATAGTAATAGCACCTATCGAGAGTGTTGTAAGTGCTAAATGTAAACAGTGCCTGGGCAAGATGTAAGGACTATGTGGTTATTATTATTATTACCATCCTAAGAGATAGGCAAGCCTGGAATCAGCCCCATCTTTACAGGAAAAATAATATACTTTTGGAACTAACTTGCTCAGAGACATAGAGTTGGTTTAAGATGCAGTGACAGGGCTAGAGTAACTGGGCTTATTTGGCTCATGAATGTGCTGACAATTAAGTTGGGCAGGTTCTGCTAGCTAAGAAGGTTTGAGTCTTGGCAAGCAAAAGGTTGCTATCTGCCCATGTAACTGACCTGGCCTGGTCTTTAGTAGGTCTCTGCAGCACAGCAACAGACCTTGCCTTCTCTATTCCACTCACAGAAAAGTGAACAGTGAGGGCGTACCTCTCTTGGGCAGCGGACGTATACAATTCTGGTGGCTCTGCCGTTCCCTGTCAATGTTGAACAGAGCATCCCGCTCACTCTGTAACATGCTCTGCAGCTTCCTCTCCTGGACTATTAACTTCAGGCGCTTTATCCGCTCCCCAGAGCGGGAGATGAAGTCAGGTCTATGAAGCTGAAGTGATTCCTAAAAAAAAACGAAAATGCCAAGCCTCGCATTAATAATGCAATCTCCAAATGCCTAGAAAAACACCACCTGCCCAAGAGATGTGAAGAAGTCTGATTCAAATGCTGAGAAAATGTCCGGACAATCCTTGGACACCTCTCTGTAAGGGAGAACTCTAGCAGGGAACCTGCAGAGATCAAAGATGAACCTTCAACGTGGGCCAGGAATTAAGACTATGGTAATTACAACTCTCCCAAATGTCAATGCAATACAGCTCTCCCATAGTGCTATTTTAAAGATCTATTTGAATAAATATATCATTAAATAACATTTCCTTTATCCCTCAAGAAACATATAAGAAGAGACTTGGTTTCCTTTAAATCCTGCATGGAGCAGGAATAGGAGTTGTGGAATTGGAAGAACACCCATGAGGCCGCACAAGCCTCAGGCCTCTGGACCTTCCACATACAGGGACCCACAAACCCGATGAGCAAAGCTGCAAATCTTCCCTCCTGTGGCCTTGACCCCAGATCCTGAGTCAGGTGATGCACCGTCTAGAATGGTTAAGAGTAAGGCAGCCTTTGATGAAAGATGAGAAACCCAGCTCTCGTGCATGAAACCAGGTGAACCACAGAGGTGCCAGAAAAGAGGGTCTCAGGCCTACACCTCAGCTCGCCAAGTCACAGAAGGAGGTTCCCTGAGCCTTGCCTTTCTTCTCCCTACACGTAGGGCTAAACTTAAGTCAGTGTCACTGCACCTGCAGGGTTGCTCTCACAAATGGCTTCAGTGCATCTCTGCCATCCTCTCTGCCTGGGCCTGCCAGGGAGCCCCGACCAACCAGGTGCTGCCCCTGCCAATTCTGCTCCCGTAGTGGCTCCCTCCAGGGCTTGGCCTTGGTTAATGGTTCAAACCAGGAGACGCCAGGGCCACACATCTTGGGCATGTTTTCCTTCTTTGATCCAGATTCCATGTTTTCCACAGGAACAAACCAGGAAACTCCTGCAACAAATAGTTTTTAGAAGGAAAAAATATTTTTCATTTTGTATAGCCCCATCCAAGTCTCATCAAGGACAGACTCTCAGGGGTCTCAGCTGTTGGCAGCCATAGGGTGCCCTTGAGTCTGGTGGCTTCACTGCAGGGATGACTGTGTAACTGCAGTGCTGGATACTTTGAAAGCCTGACAAGGTGTTGGCTGGGGGTAGGTGGGGTCCACATAGAGTCACTTGGAAACACAGAGTCAGCATCACAGGGGACTTGAAATTCACTAGTTTCTCTACTACAAGATCTTAAATGAGAAACTGACCTTCATGGGAATTCTTCTTGTTCCTTTTTAACTTTCTGTCCACAGGATAAGCGGTAAAGAGCATTTTCTCTTCATGTTTTTCTTCTGACCAAGAAGTCACATCACTGTCCTCTTCCAATTTAGCCTCGCTGGAACTCGGAGTTGGGAAAGTCATCCCAACATCTCGAGTGTGTTTTTTGGCACCATTCACAATCTCCAAGTTACCTGAGGGGAAGGATCACAGGTGTCTGGGAGTAGCCTTGAGGCTGAGTTAATTTATTCAGGTGAGTAAGGTTTATCCAGGTAAGTAAGTAAACTCTTTTTAATGCTTCAAAAATACAATGCCTTTGTGTGGGATGGAGGGATGGGAAGAGAGAGAGAGAGATAGATAGATAGAGAGAGAGAGAGAGAGAGAGAGAGAGATTTTAAAAGAAGGGAGGACAGGGGAAAGTTGGAAGGGAAAAGAGGAAGAAGAAAAAAGAAAGTGTTTTTATTTGTAAGTAATTTTAGGTATTAGAGGGAAAGAAGAATGAATATGGGTTCAAAGGGTAAAGGATTTCAGCTCTGATCCCAAGTCAGAAAGACAGTAAATACTTAGAGTCCTTTTGGTAGTCACCCACGTAAGGAAGAGGTTAACGGAAGTAAAGACAGGATTTGAGGGGAAGAAACAAATCAAGATAAAAGTTTATTTATTTTTATTTCATGAAACCAAAAGGTATAGAAAGGCAATAACTAAAAATTCTCCTTTCCACTTCTGGTCTCCATTTATTCTGTTCACAGCCCCATATGGTTCCAGAAAATTCATTTTGCACATTTAAGCAATCTCTTCCATTTATTTAAAAAATTCATATTGCAGTGTACTATACACTGTTCTGTACCTTTTCTTAAAATCAATTATATGCCTTGGAGATCTTTCTCCAAGTACAGAGAGAGATTAGTACAGAGAGCTTCCTCATTCTATGTAAAATTTCATTCATTATCTAGGTATACAATAATTTATGCAATTATTAAGCTATTGAGGGACAGCTAAATTCATTTTAATCTCCTGCTATAACAAACAATGTTTCTGTGGTTACTTTTGTACACTATTTTGCACATATGCAAGCATATCTATAGGTTAAATTCCACATATGCATAGTGTTTCTATAGAGTCCATTTCAAAAGTAAAAATGCTGAAACTAATTTTGATAGAACTGTCAAATTACCTCTCACAGTGAACCAACTTCCACTCTTACTGGAATATACAAGGGAATCCATTTCCCTATACTCTTGCCCACAAACTTGCCATCAAACTTGAATTTTTGCCAATCTGATAAGATGAAAATTGGCAGATGGATATAGTTTTATCTTCATGTCCTTTATTATGATTGAGGCTGAGTATCTTATATGTTTAAGAGCTATTTCAATGTATTTCAATTAAAAAGTTTAGATTCAAGTAATTACCTGCTTGTATGCCCTTGTTTAACATGTGTACATTTTGCTTGTTGCAAAGAGTAGAGTTCGAGCTCAGGAAACTACTGACAGAAGAGGAAATAGAGTCAGAAGAAATCACATGGTTTGCTACCTAGAAAAATAAAAAAGATCTTGTTATTATTATCTGCAGTCAATGTCACAGTTAACCACAGGATAAGCCAACAAGTCCTCTTTCTAATCCAATTCAAATTGTTGAGATGCATTTAGAGGAAGCCTGAGATAATGTGAACATGCTGCCTTGTATCTGTGATAGGGAGGAGAATGTTGTAGTTGTTTAGGACTTCAGCTCTTCTAAGGTGGTAAGGCCTGGCTATTTTCACTGGGCTTGGAAAAACTGTGAAGAGAATGCTAGCTAAACATTGGTTTGATGCATCTTCAGAATGAAATTCTGAAGTGACACCTACACATAATTTTCATGTGAGATAAAGAGGCCTGGAGATAGCTAAAAAAGTGATGAGCTGAAGAGAGTGCTCTCCAATTAAGGGCAGACTCAGACACATATACTAAGACAAACAGCAAAGATCTGCAAGGCTCATGAGATGTCCTGATGAGCAGTGTACTGCAAAAAGTATTAGAGAGTCCCAAAGGCCTTTCAATTACGTTCAGAGCAAGTAGAGCAATGAAGGCAATTTTAGGGATTGCAGCTGATGGTGCAATGTTGGTGGATGACAAAAAATTTAACAAGATATAGCTGAACAAATACTACAGTGTAAAATAGTACTTCTTAAACAAATACTATAGTGTAGAATAGTACTTGTTCATTGTTAATATGTCCAAGGACAGAGAGAAGCTAACCCAGAATAATGAATTGGAATCTCGCGAGGGGGCGGGGAGGTTCCGGGCATCTATATTTTGAATAAATGCCAGGGAATCTTCTACTTACGCAGGTCTGGTGGAGGTAAATTAAAGCCTGGGTGAAGATAGGAAACTGAGCATATCTGATCCCTCAAACTAGATAAACCATATTCCAGAGTCATAAACAAACTTGTAACAGAATTTTGGAGAGGAAGATCTATGTTAGACATTTGAAGAAAGGAAACACTTTGATTTTCAGAAAGGTAGGCATAGCAAACTAGTGGGCTGAACATTGATGACATGTACAATTTAGGATGGATCACAAATTGAACAATTTGCAAGTAAATGATGAAAAAAAGATGAGCAGATTTAAGTCAGGCTTAGGCAGGCAGAGCATGGCCTGCCAGGTTAGCCTTGTTTTCTCTAGTAGGTAAGGTCATTTTACTGGTGAAACAAAAGAACACATAACATTCTATACCTAGATTTGAACAAAATGCCAAAACATCTCATGGCATCTTTGAAGGCAAGATGAAGTTATATGGATTGGATAGAAGTTGATAGAACCATAACTGGTCGAACTAACCTTACCCAAATATAATTTCAACACAGAGAGTTGTCTTTACTGAGTGGTACATCTTGCATTTGACAATAAATAGTTACTACGCAATTACTGTGCGCAGTCACTGGGTTTGGTGCTTGCTACTCCTTCTTAAGATTTTACACATCAGTGTCTTGGAGGTATGGAAAGCAGGAAAATTTCCATACAATACACATCAAGGAGGGCCTCTGTCAGGATCCCAAATAATAACAGGAATGATGGACTAAATCAGAGCATGTTTAGTAGGAGTAATTTTAACAGTCTGCTCATTAGGCAGGAGAAAAGGCAGCAACTCTGATGCAGGAAAAAAAAAAAAAGCTCTTTGGATTCCAAACAACTAGGCCAGTTTCAGGTTTTCCCTTTATTAGAGGTCTCTACTTAGGCAAGCTACAACCTCTTTGTGTCAGTTTCCCCATCTAGAAAAGGAAACAAAATTTGCATTTCAGAAAGAACAGACGATTTAGATAGTAAAATATAAAACTAGAGACAGACTACCATGTTGTTAAAAAAACCTTTTTATTTTTTCCTTAAAAGAAACGAACATGAAAAAGAAGTAACTGATATGAAATACATTATACCTTCTCTGCAGCTATCAAAGAGAGGAAGAAAGCATGTTAGGTACTAAAAAAGGTAAAAATATATGTAGGTGTTTGCTTTTTTATTTATAAAATGCCTCTGAAAGGAAAGAATCCAGAGTGAAAGAAGAAGTGAAACTGGTTTTACTTACAAATGACAAGATCTTCTCTGTAAAAAATACTAAGAAATCCACAAAGAATTAGAACTAATAAACAAGTTCAGCCAGGTTGCAGACTGCAAGATTAATAAGATAAAAAAAACCCAATTGTATTCCTATATTCTAGCAAGTGACAACTTGAAAATAAAATTGACAATCTCACAATAGCAACAAAAATAATAAAATATTTAGGAACAAATTTAAGAAGAGGAAGTGCAAGGTTTGCACATTACAAACTAGAAAACATTGCTGGGAGAGATCAGAGATCTATGTAAATGGTGAGACATTCACCATACATAGATTGGAAGTCTCAAAATTGTTAGGATGGCAATTATCCTCAAATTAATCTGTAGATTCTATAAAATCTCTATCAAAATTCCAGCAAGGATTTTTGATGAAATCTACAAAGTGATCTCAACTTTATATGGGAATGGCAAGGACCACAAGGGCCAAAAGTTATTGAAAAAAAAAGAAAGGTGGAGGACTTACATTTCCTGATTTCAAATCTTATAAAGTTATACCACAAATCAAATCAAGGCATTGTGGTATTGATATAAGGATACAAACTGGCGGGGCGCAGTAGCTCAGGCTTGTAATCCCAGCCCTTTGGGAGGCCGAGGCAAGCGAATCACGAGGTCAGGAATTTGAGACCAGCCTGGCCAATATGGTGAAACCCTGTCTCTACTAAAAATACAAAAATTAGTGCACCTGCAGTCCCAGCTACTTAGGAGGCTGAGGCAGAAGAATCACTTCAACCCAAGAGGCAGAGTTTGCAGTGAGCTGAGATCGTGCCACTGCACTCCAGCCTGGGTGACAGAGCCAGACTCCATCTCAGAAAAAAAAAAAAAAAAAAAAAAAAAAGGATAATAGACATAGACAAATCAATCAATGGAAAAGAATGAAAATTCCAAATGAAACCTTACATATGTGATCAATTAGTGTTCAACAAAGGGGCCAAAGCAACTAACTGGAGAAAATAATACTCTTTTGAACAAATGATGCCGGGACAATTAAATATCCCTGTTCAAAGAGATAAGGTTAGACAACGCATTGTACACAAAAATGTACTAAAAATGGATGGTAGACCTAAACATAAGTAAAACAATAAACTTTTAATGAAAATCAGGAGAAAATCTTTGTGACTTTGGTTAGGCAAACAATTCTTGAATATAACACCCCAAGTACTTGAATATAACACCCCAAGTACTTGAATATAACACCCCAACCCACAATCGTGGATTGAATCCACAATCCATACAAGAAAAATAGTTTAAACTGGACTTCATAATTACTGTATTAAAACCATTTGCACTTCAAAAGACACTGGTTTTTTTTTGTTTTTTTTTTTTGAGACAGAGTTTCGCTCTTGTTACCCAGGCTGGAGTGCAATGGCGCCATCTCGGCTCACCGAAACCGCCGCCTCCTGGGCTCAGGCAATTCTCCTGTCTCAGCCTCCTGAATAGCTGGGATTACAGGCATGCACCACCATGCCCAGCTAATTTTTTGTATTTTTAGTAGAGACGGGGTTTCACCATGTTGACCAGGATGGTCTCGATCTCTCAACCTCATGATCCACCCATCTCGGCCTCCCAAAGTGCTGGGATTACAGGCTTGAGCCACCGCGCCCGGCCTTTTCTGTTTTAAATTAAAAGGTCAAGCCATAGCCTGGGAGAAATTATTTATAAAAAATACATCTGATAAAGGACTTTTAACCAGAGTATATAGAGAGCTCTTTCAACTCAGTAGGAAGATAACCTAATTTTAAAATAAGCAAAATATTTAAAAAGACAGTTCATCAAAGAAGATATAAGAGTGGCCAATAAACACATGAAAAGATGTTCAACATCATCAGTCATTAGGAAAATCCAAATTAAACTCACAATAAGATACCATTTCATACCCACTAGAATGGCTATAAACAAAAAGGTGGACAATGGCAAGTGTTGACAAGGAAGTGGAGAAACTGAAACCCTCACACACTGCAAGCAAGAATGTAAAATGATACAGCCACTTTGGAAAACACTTCGGCAATTTCTTAAAAAGTTAAACATAAACCTATCATATGACCTAGCAATTTCACTCCTGAGTAAAAACCCCGAAGAAATGAAAATGTATGCCCACACAAAACTTTTGCACAAATATTAACAGCAGCATTCACATTATCCAAAAAAACAAACAATTCAAACGCCCATCAACTGAAAGATAAGCAAAATACGGTATATCCACAAAACAGAATACTATTCAGCAACAAAAAGGAACCACTGATACATACAACATGGATGAACCTTGAAATCATTATGTTAACAAAAAAAGGCAGATGCAAGAGACCACATCTCATGCTGTGTATATAAAATCTCCAGAAGAGGCAGAAGAGGGGTTGCCTCGGGCTGGGAACCGAGATTGACTGTAAAGAGGTACAAGGGACCTTTTGGTAGCGACAGAAATGTTCTAAAACCAGATTGTGGTGATGACTGTACAACTCTGAACACTTAAAATGGATGAAATTTTATTGTATGGCTCTGGGAAGGAGTGCTGGGTGCTGGGGAACAGGATTAGGAAGGACACTCTTGATCAAATATTTTGTACCATGTGGTTGTACTGTATTACCGGTTCAAGAAATGAATAAACGAAACAAAAAATTGTGGGGAAGGGTGTGGCAGTAAAGATTTAAGGAGTTCAACAGGAATAAAATATGCTAGGCCACAGACATGGTCCAGTCACTGAAAGGAAGGTGACAAGTTGTGTCAGTCAACACACTCTCACTACCCAAAGCACAACAAGTTTAGTTGAGAGGGACATGTTTAAAAATAAGATACCAACAAACTTATACCCAGGGAGCTGCCAAACTCAGAAAGAAGAGTAGAAACCACGGCCTATGTGGAACAGTTCATGGAGTGAAGACCTGAGAAAAAACACATCAGGAAAAGAGGTGGGGGCCCCAGAGGCAGAGATGTAGGCTTGCTTC